ATTTTAACACACATTTGTATGATGTTGTATTAATTTTTTTACTTATTTTTTTAATTTAAGTTTTTCAAATTCTTAAGGATTTATTTAAAAATAAAAAAAAGTATGCTACCAGTTTCTTCGCATAAAATGCCTTGACAACACAGGAAAGCAAAAAGCTTATATCACAAATTTGTAGGCCTGCCTTCAAATCCACTTTTAACGCTTGACTTTGTGTTTTTTTTTTTTTTTTGGTCAAAAATGTTTTCAATTTCGTTTTGCACACTTCGCATACTTACACTTGCAGTTGTTGTTTCTTTAACCGTCTGTTGGACAGACGGAGAGTTACAAATTAACGGTACATGTACGTTCAACGTATATCGAATGTGTTTATGTGCAGACGGCGGTTATTTCATAATTTTTATGCACCAATTAACATTGCAACAATAAATATTGTTTGTTTCAATAATTTTTTTGTTGTTTTGGTTGGTTTTTCAAATTTTGTTGTTGGTGGTTAATAAGTTTGTTAATAATTGTAGTACATAGGTGAGGTGGTAGAATTCAAATTTTGTTCGACATTTGGTGAGGACAATACACACATATTGATTCAAATTTGTTTGGTTAAGTTTTGGTTATTTGTTTTTGTAAATATTTTTTTTTTTAGGTGAAAGCGCAAAAAAGTGAGAAAAAAGAAGAATTTTGTTTTAGAGCTTGGTAATATAGTTCATAGTTACGAATTCAAATTAGTAATCGGTAAAATAATTCATATACACACACATACATATATATACAGTGTGCTATATATGTATGTGTATGTAGTATAGTAGAAGCAGCTAAAACTGTGATACGAGAATTTGGCGGAAAATAATAAAGCTTTTGTGTCGAAAAACACAACTAACTACGATGTGTCTAGTAGTGACTGGTGGCGTAGCTACGAATAATTGTGAGCCGAAAGCTCGAGTGGCATACAGTACCTGCGAGAAGTTGGGCACGCTGACCGTCTTGCGCATCGATAGCGGCTGACCGTGCGCAGTCTCCAATTCTTTGACGGCGACGCTTTGGCGCAAGCGATCGAGCGTCAATATGCTCTCCACGGCGGAAACGCCACGCGTGTATTTTTCTAAGCACAAAAAAAAATATATTTAATTAATATATAGCATAACCACAACAAACGACCACTCACCGATGTATGTTTCGCCATCGCTTGCGGAGCAATCATCACCGCTGGCGGCCAATTGAGCCAAGGATTCGCGGTCCTCGAGTTCTTCGGATGCTTTTGGTATGTTGGAGACCACTTCGTAGGTGACGCCCGTCTGCAGTATGGCATTCTCGCCGCGTACCAAACGAAACTTTTTCAAGCGATCGGTAATGCTTGGACCTTTCTTTATGTTTATGCTAATGCGTTTGCGCAACACCAAATCCATGGGTGCTGGATGTGAGAGCCGTACAGTGGTGCGCAGGATCAGGTAGACGCGCTCATTCGCTTCGGTAACACGATTCAATGCCTGACTGTCGTGCATGGACGAGTCCCAACTGGCAATCGAGCAGACATCCTTTTCGAGGTGTTGTAGTATTTGTAGCGTGTAGAATTTGTGTCCATGCTCTTTGGAGAGTATCGAATTTTGACCGGCAACAGAGAATTCGTCATTGGTATTTTGCGCCGACATATCGTCGGCATTTAGATCGAGAAACAAGACGGGCACGTGCGGTTCCATGCCGGCTGGTGGTTCCCAAGAGGCTGGCGCGCCCGGTATGCCAGAACCGGGTGCGGGCACCAAAACGGCATTGCGTTCCTCGGTCAAGGAGACCCACTGGTGTACCAAACTCAACTCACGTTCACGTTCCTCCTCGGTCTTTTCCTCCTTCTTGATTAGTTTCTGTATTTGCTGATCGAGGTAGGAGCGTCGGCGGCCGAGCGCTTCACTCCAACGCTCACGCAGCACGGTGAGATCTTCTTCTTGATACGAGTCGAGTGGTCGCTGTAGACGTGAACGCACACTTATGCTACCGATTGCAATATTTACTATGGACTGACAGATGATCGGCAAGGTGCCGGAATTTTGTACCGGTTTGACGCGTACATTTACGCGCCGCTGTTGGCCCTGACGCAACTGATAGATGCCACCGGTGAGCACTTCGGTGCGATTTGTCACCTCCACCGGTGAGTATTCACCATTGTCATTCAGTTCGTGTATTTCCACCCACAATTCGATCTTACGCGACAATTCCGCCCAGCGGTCGACTAGCGAACGCGCCTTAGCCTGCTGTTGCTCCACCTCCCAGCCTTTGGTCTTGGAGAAACCGGCACTGCGGTGACCCCAAACCTCAACCGATAACGCACCCTCAATACAGTGCTCTAGGAATTCCTCATTTATGGCGACGGTGAAGTCCTTGGTGTGCTCAAATTTAAAGACTTTATTCTGATCGTGTGAGGGCGCTTCGGCATTGATCACTGGCACCACCGTCTCTTGGTGGCCCCAGAAGGTGTACTGGCAGAAAACGAAGTTGGATAGCGAAAGCGGCAAGCCGGTGGCGCTCTTGATTGAGACACGGCAAGTGATTTGATTGGACATTGGATCGACAGGATCGTCGTATTCGTCGCGTGAATCGGTCGAAGACTCGGAAATCGATTCGCACATGCGATCCTGTGGCATTTGACCGGCAATGCGTTGTACCTCGACCTGAAGTCGGCCAGCAACTTCACCTTGTTGACTTATGATGGGCGTATGATAGTCCAGCTTAACATCGTGGAAGAGTACCTCTAGGAATATATTGGCGACACCGATCAGATTGTGATTCTCCTGCGATTCGTAGAACGGATCCAACGATTTGGAGTTTTCACTCTCCTGTAAATGCAGCAGAAGTTAGTAAAGGGCTTCAATAAATTTGTAGTTGTAGTGGAAAGAATAGGGGTATGCAAAGGAGAGAGAGAGAGAGAGAGAGAGTATTTGGTAGGCATATTCATGTGGAAGAGTATGTAGTAAGTAACAATTACCTCATCGCTATCTTCATCGTCGGAGTATGTTTCAACGACAGGCTTTATTATTTATTTAGTTAGTTTTTTCGAGCAGTGTGTTTGAGCGAATGGCAATGGGTTAGTTAAAATGGAGAAATGCAGAAATGGAACAGCATTGTTAGCATACATACATACAAACTGGCTTATTTATTTATAAAAGCTTTGAAAGCGTATAAATGAAATGATATGCTTGGAGTGTGGCGAACTTACCAAGCCATTCAAAAGGCGCTCCTTGTGCTCCTGATACATTTCTCGCATGTCAATCAGCTTGTTCTCCAACTTTTCCATGGTCCAAATTTGACTGCCGGAATTCGTGCGCTTCACCAAAATGGCTGGTTCGCTGACGAAAGCGCCGCGCTGTAAAGCAAAAATAAATGCAAAGGAAACATATAAATAGTTGTTGGTGAGAATTAAAGAATATACGTACAATATATACATACATATAAACTAGTAGTAATAAAAAAATAAAAACAACGTTAACTTCGGTTACACTGAAGCTAAGAAAACAGTGTGCATACAAGAACTTTATCAGAACAATATGTTCAGAGATTGTAGACTTTCCTTGGACAATATACCATATCAAATTACGTATAGACATCTCGTGAAATAAAAAACTTTTCCATATGGGAACTTGATTTTCACTCTTCTGTGTAAGCAGTTACAGTCGTAGGCCTATACTCAATTCCCACTCTTGCGTCCCTGACGCGCATCCTGAAAACGTGAGAAACCCTTGTGTAAGATGCGATAGCTAACCCATGTGGAACCTGCGGTCACGGCTAAAAGAGAGGAAACTTTAGCGAGCCACTCCGAAATATGCGGTTTAAGGGTTCGCTGAAGTCTAATTGTAATGTCTGTTCATCAGAGTTGCGTCTGCGAGCGAGCGTCGGCCTTAAAACAAGCGGCTCACTATGTAATGTGTACAAAACTTTATACTACTCGCCGTAGAGGTTATGCGTTGGCTTTGGGACCCGCCACGCAGTAACCACCCCAAATGAAAAGCAGACAACAGCTTCGGATGAAAGACTCCACTTTTGAAAACGAGCAAAGTAAACGTAATATGGACTATGATTTAAGGTCATGCACCTGCAATGCCGATACCTAAATTGGAAAGACAAGGACGGAGACGAGTAGGTCCTTGTGACATTCATGGTGGGAGAAAGACTCAGTCGTCGAATCCCAACAGTCATTCCGGCGGATGGGAATCGGGAAGAACCTCTCCGAGCCGTTTGATACCAAACGAGGTTTCAAACAAGGGGACTCCCTATCGTAGCTTCACTCTTGCCAACATGTGCTACTTTTGACTAGTAGTAGTAGTAGGGAAATAATAATATATATTGTATGTAAATGCAAGCTCCTTGATACATTAAATATTTTTCGGCATATAATGTTTAATGATGAAAAAAGTTTTTGCAAAAGCCTCTAACCTACTATTAAAATTTCAGCTTATAAATTCTACACTTACCCGCCGATTTGGACTTAGATTGGCCGGCGGTATTTGTAAAGTAACTGAGAATTTTGTCTTCTTCTCCATCTCCTCGGCGAGGAAGTTGGCCTCCTGCACCAAAGCATTGGCGCGCATAATATCGTTTTTCAATTGGCCCAGCGAACGCCTGAACATCTCATCACGCTCCTAAAAATACAAATTACCATGTAAATATTTATGTATGTTTATACTTTTTGAAAGTAATGTGTAATAGCTGTTAATGAATCCAAAATAAATAACGGCATAACGGTACATACCTGTGCCCACTTTTCAACGCGCATTTGCGATGTGGGTGTGTTCGGTGTAATCTTACCCAAACGCAAAGGATCGTATGGTGTATACGGGGCGTAGGGGGTGCTGGGCGATAGGGTGTTACGCAACTGCTGAAACTGGCGCTCATACTCCTACGAATGGGCGTGTAAATAAAATAATATTTTAACGGCGCACACAATTTTTGGTTTGCTCTCACCTGTCGCTGCTTCTCCAGTGCCACTTGCTTGTCTTCCTCGTGCTGCCGCTCGAGCCGCGCGATGGCCGTTTGTATGGGATCATTGCTCAGTTCGTTTTGCATTATCTCATCGCGCGCAAAATTATAATCGATCAGCTGTGCTGGGGTTTGTGGTTCCGAGATCATGTTGGCATTGGCGCTCTTCGGACAATTAACACGGAAGAAATGATGATTACCCCAGAGTATGCGATCGCCATTGTGCAGTGGAATCTTCTCCAGCACCGCCGAACCATTCACGAAGCAACGGGCACCCTGTATGGGTTCCATAAAGAGGCCACCGTCTTCGATGACAATGACACAGTGTTCAGGTTGTATACCAAGGCCGGATAGTTGTATGTCTGGTTGTTGGCCGGAAATGCTATGACCACCGATTAGGGTGCGTTCCTGCACACAAAAGGAATAAGTACAAAATTTCAAAAACTGGCAAAGACTATATCAAAGAACATGCGCCAAATATTTAAGTTGAGATTATCGGCTGCAACAACAGCTAAACCAAAAGGTCGGTTCTAAGTAACCGGAATGGATCCCGATTTTTATCTTGCCAAGATTATCAACTCGGCTCGATTTCTCGAATTTCAGAAATGGCTTCGAATACTACAACCACAACAGGGCACCAACTGTAGATTACATAAAGGAAATACTGGAACAATATACGAGTATAACCAAAATCTAATTGGTGGACAGTAATATCTGTTGTTTTTGTTGTAGCGCAGAATTTGGCCTAGTAGACAGACCTTGGTCGAATAAAAATCCGGGTCCGTTTCGAGAATGCTCCGAAACGTACCGTAGATGCAAATCTACGCACGCAAAGAACTCTGAGTACGTTTCGGTTATGCGAACACGATTGTCGGCCCGATTGAAAGGGACATGACAAAATTTAAAAAATAACTGTTACGACTTATAATGCTCATCTAAGTTCATATCGTGGCAAACCGAATTAACAACAAAAATTACACCAACACTGCCAACACTAACCTTTAAATAGTAAACCAACAACTCATTCAGGGACGGATCAGCATTCAAATTGACTAAATAATATTTGTTCTTCTCCACTTTAATTCCGCTCGCCTGCACGCTAATGCCCATCTTTTCGAGCGCCTGCTGACGTTCGTTTTGTATGCGTTCGGTTTTCACCAGCTTCTCCTCCCACGTTTGTGAGATTTGCTTCATCAGATTCTCACTTTCTGCGAGCTTGTCGTGTATATCGACGCGTTGTACATCGCCCACTGGCGAGCCGGTCGCATGTTTCAGCATATTACGTAACGCCTCCACTTCCAGGCGCAATTCGCGTATGATGCGCGCATTCGGATCCTCATTGACGACAGCATGATTGACAATACGCTTGGCACGATCGGCATAGCGCAGCGTCGAGAGCGTTTCTTCGTAATTATCGGCCGATGGTGATATTGTGGCAACCATAACGGTTTTTGAATTACCACCCAAATTGTCCTTTAGCAGCCATGTGAGTACGGAGTCGCGATATGGTACGAATTTGTCGTTGCCACTCTTTTTGCCATTCGATTGATCGGCCAGCTTCGAAATAACCAAACCCAGGGTGGTGAGTGATCTGGGAAAAATGTAAATTAAAGTTATGAAAAAGTAGAAAATATAAGGTTTTTAATCACTAAAATAAGCTTTCCAATACATATTGCACTCCTACGCCCCAAACACAGAGACACAAACTCACTTATTTATGTTGGAGCCCTCCTTGAGTCGATCGCCAACAGCACCAGTCTTCACAGCGCGTTCGGAACCAGCCAAATCCACCAACGACATTCGTGACACCTTCTCACCGCTCACACCGGTCGCCTGATCTGTCAGTATTTGTGTGAGCACCACCGAGAAAACAGCATGCGAACGTGACGATTCCGCATTCATATTCGTTGCGGCGACAGTACGCGATTTATTGCCTTCGGTCATGAGATTATCAATATCCTTGTATGAGGAGACCGCCAGCTGCGACAGACCATCCACATATGGACCCAACACATTGTGTTCACGCACCTTGAGTGATTGTTTATTTGGTTTTGGATCGAGCAGATCGTGTACTTTCTCATTGTAGATCTCCATGTAGGACACCTCGACCTTATACATGAGATCCTGTGTCGTTTTATTGGCTATGGCTGAGAAGAGCTCATCGCAGAGGCGTGGTATGATGCCTTTGGACTCAAGCGAACCCATCATTGTGTATGATTTACCGGAGCCTATGATGAAGGGATGGAAAATAAAACAACAAATAAAGAAAATTTTCAAAATGTTTGAAAGTAAATAAGTGTGGGTGTGAGTGTGTGTGTACTTACCTGTTTGGCCATAGGCGAATATGCAGGCATTGTAGCCTTGGAATGCATTATAGAGTATATCACGTCCCACACAATCGAAGACGGACTCCTGTGAGGCGAAATTCTGGTCTTCGGGATTTAACGAATAGAAGCAGTGATCGAATGCAAATGTCTTGGGTGGTTTTCTGCAACAATTAAAAAATATATAAATATAATTTATCCGAAAAAAGAGAAAGCGTGTACAAGCGCAAAGCAAGCAGCGACAATTTTCGCAATAAATATGGTCAAATAGGCTTAGTTATGCAAGGGAGCACGTGCGCGACCATTAAATCAGAGACAGACATTACCATTATGTGCTGCAAGTGGTGTATGCCCTGCAGGGAAATTTTAAGCAGTTTCGAATATGATGCGTAAGTCGTCGAATTTCAGTAGCAGCGAGTAAAATATGGTATAACGGTACTGTATAGGTTTCTTGACATAGTTGTTCAGTCGAAGGCATATGCAAATCGTGCTTGAAAATACTCTTATATCTTGAATTTGATTCATCCATATTTATCTGTCTTTGAAGACGTGTCTTCTCTGAACGTGTCTCTACCGTACTTTGGGTTCGTCACCCGGTGTCGCATTAGTAGGTTGAAGCGAACTCCAGACTTCCTGTGATACCAGAAGTAAGTTTCCTGTCAGAATTCGTAACCGAAACTACTAACAGTTGGCCTTCACGTGCAAACATACCACACGATCCTAACTGTTCGGCATTCCAACTAGTGGATCCAGCCATACAACAATGACACACTGAAATACCATCTTATATATGCAACAGCACGATGTAAGACAATCAGCTCTAAAGGGGATGCACCTGATAAAACCTGCATCACATCCGAGACCGGCATCGATAATTCCATATTGCAATAGGGGAAAAAGGGCGGCTCCACTCCAATCATCGCACTTAACGCCATCTTGCACATAGTTCCCGTGGACATCATCGGAAGATCTGCGGCGGCGAAAGTGGCTATTAGATTCAGAGAATCTGGGGATCCGTGTCTGAACACTCAGAAAATCTCACATTATCATATAGGATCACTTGGATCAAACCCAACTCTGGCGGCTACTTCTCTGTCCATATACCGGCAAGGGAGTTGTGGGTAGGAAGAAGCCGTTGGAAGAGAAGGGCAGTGACCTGCTTGACGGATGAGTCAAACCTTGTGGGGAAGGTTGGTGGAGAGGCTTACTGTCAGGAGTTCTATATCAACTCTAGCTTCAGACTTCCTGACTATTGCATTGTTTTCCAAGCCGAGATTGAAGCTATTAAGGTAGCAGTAGTTTTACTGGTCCGGAATGCAGCCACCTTCAGAGTAGTGACCATCCACTCAGATAGCAGGGCAACGATACTAGTCATGTACTCATTAAGAGTGCGTTCAGGATCAGGTCAAGGACTGCCTAACCTCGCTATCAATAGGATATGGATCGGATGTATGGTGCCTGGGTACCAGGCCACAGCGAAATGGCAAGATATTGTAAAGCTGATGAGCTAGTAAGGAAAGGGAGGGTGTCGGTGCTCCCGTATCCTCTCGTGTTCTACTATTAGATAGCTGGGTTTCGTGAGAGCTTGGCCAGCGTTGAGCCACCATCGGTACTTGCGCTGTCGCAAAAGCCTTTTGGCCCAAGATTGATCGCAAGAGATCTAGCGATCTCTTTGACCTCAGTAAGGCTTTGAACAGGCCATTGCCCTACTGGCGTCCATGCTTTAAAGGCTGGGAATCGCACCAGTTGCCATCTGCAAAAACTGTATGGAAGAAGATGAGGTGAAAACCACTCAGTACTTCCTTCTTGACTATCCCACTTTTGAGTGGTCCAGACTTAAACATTTTGGAGTGCATGAAATGGATATTAAACGCTTGTTCAAATTTGTACTGGTTTTTAAGACTTTGGCTAGTTTATAGGATCGAAATCAGGAGTTCTTCTTTTTTACACCTGCAAAGGACTACATATAGCACTCCACGTGCGATTTTCCTAGGTCAGTCAGCTAACCTAACCTAGTCAAAAAAGTCTAGCCTATCCAAAATCTACATAGTTTCCTACGAGGTAGCTACTCAAATTTTCTACTAGATATATACTACTAGACATTTTATATACATATATAGAAACACATAACAATATTTATATACATAACTAAAAACTGCATAAAAACCTCGCTTACCTCTCCAATTTGTCCAGCGAAGGCGGATTTTGCAGAATTGTCTGCTGTTTTTCCATCTCCACGATGCATTTTGTGCCCAACTCGATTTCTGCAAATAAAAGAAGACAACATGAATTTCAATCGTTATGCAGAATATTGAATTTTATATGTCGTTTAGTGGACGCTTTAATGGCTTGCTCTTAGTTGCTGCGGAAATGAGGATGATTCATCGATAAGTATATAAAAATAAGTTATTTATGTTATCCTAGTCGTAACCTAGTGCATGCGCCGGCATTATATGTATATGTATGTATGTATATCAAATAAAATAKTGATCGTAAACGGGCACTTGTGATAAAAAAGATTATCTAATAATAATAAGGAAAGCCAAGTTGCTTAAATGAGCTTATTAATAAGAAATTTTTATGTAGCTATAATTCGACTATTAAATGAAAGCGACGACTACTATGAGAGCACATTTCTAGACGCTAAGCATAAGCATATATATGTCTTTTATGGCATTAACTTGATGAGAATCACAAAAGTGTCGCACTTGTCTGTAATTAAATTACTTTTTTACAAATTAATACGGTCGGAGTGGGAGATAAAGTAAGTATCAAAGCATTAATTAAAATTTTTATGCGATAAAAAATAAGAAAGTTTATATGTTTCGAAGTGATAGCCAACTCGCTCGTCAATTTTTGTTCTGTAAGGGAGCAATATCGTATCACACTATCAGTTTAAAATAAATTTAGTTGAATTTGTGACCTTGCAAGGGCTATATTCTCTTACATCTCTTATTGTACCCAAAGTTAATCATTGTCAGTTTCCGACGATATTTCAACAACAAAGATTCTAAAGTATTTAAGGTAGATTGGTCTGTTAGCTATGCGTAGACCAATTTTGATCTTTAGTAATGCCATCTGCAGGCGTATGCTGCCACACCAGACTGTAAACAGTGTCTATCCAAATCATGTTTCTACGATTTCTTCAATCAATAGTGAGCAGTATATTTTTGATCTACCGCTTTGCATACGACTTGTGGAGTTTTGCAGCCTGATAGATCATTCTATAGAATTTTAACATATCCTGTCGCATACTGCTCTCCAGATCGTCGTAACGACAATGCATGGGTTATCAAATGTCGGTTACATTATCGGTTGAGCACTCTTGGCAATCTCGTCTACTAAGTCATTGCCAGCGCTGCCTTTCTGACCTGACATCCAGTAGAAGTGAAGTCATTTGTTTCTGGCAACACTCGTCACTGCTTCCCAAGACATTTCTGGGCGATATGCGAACGAGTTTACTTTCTTGATCGCTGCTTGGCTGACTATGTAGATGTTGATTCTGCAGGTGCATTAGAGGTTGACTCCACAGTTTCCCCAATAGTAAGGACCTTTGCTTGAAATATACTGCAATGGGCAGGAAGTATAAAAGCCTAACTTCTATCTAACTCTGGACAGTATATCCTCACGCCAACTGCGTAGGCATTTTTTGAGTCATTCTTTGTCTATGTTCGGAGTAACCTTCTTTAACATTTGAAAAGTGGGATCATTACACACCCAGCTATACCCGAGGTTCCTTACGTAAATTCTCATCCAGCCAGTAGTTGTCCCGCCGATTTTGCTGCGCAGTTTTCAGCGAAGGAGTCTATAGGTGGCAGGTTCAGCATTAGTTCGGATTTTTCATCCTGTCAAGGACTATCAATTCGGCAGAATTATACCGTTTCAACAAAAGAGGGTGAAAGTCTCCAGGTTGTGCCAATCATCTGCCTACGCAGTGCTGTCCCTTCTCACTCTTCTTCCACAATAGTTTGCTGTCCAAGAATACCGCAAGGTACTTGATGCGATTCATGAGCGAGAATTGTGTCCCAACTCCATCGGAGGTATTTAGTACTTTTAGAAATTCTGTTCCGAAGAGCTTAATAAACATTTCTCTGGAAGAAATGATATCTTTAAAGTCTTTGCAGATGTGTACTTTTTATGCAATTAAAAAAATTATATATTTAATGTTAGACTTTGTAAATTTAACGTTAGTTTAGTTATCGTTTGAACAACTTCCAACATTAGTCCTCTTAAATGTGTCAACATAAATAAAGCGAAAGCGTGACAAAGTTCCTAAGAGAACTCCTTTTATATCCATGCAAAAAAGTTTAGAACATTGCATAATAAATCCTGCATAAATTATTCTGCAAAAGAAGCACAATCTTCTTATCATACGAACACACTGAGCTGCTGCATGCATGCTTGTTCCACGTCTCGTGCATACGAAATTGAACATTCGCCTTCGCTCAGTCTGCAGCAGAATGGTGACCCGTGAAAGTGGAGCAACAGCATGTTGATAAAGCAAAATGCATTTGAATTGCATAAGTGGCATCTTTTGCTGCGATTTCGAGAAATTTAATTGATAATTAGAAATCTAGCTTAGTTGAAGTAGAAAAACGTGCGATAAGCAGAAAGCGAATAATAGAAATTTTAATTGGAATTATGTGCATAGATAGGGCAATTACATTAGTTGATATGAATTGATTTCATATTGAATAGCTTTGATAATATTTGTGATTGGATTACTAAAATTTCTAATATACAAATCGTTCGTTTGAGTTTGCTGGGTAGCCAGAAGTCACGCGAAGCTAAATTAGGTGAATACGGCGATTGCGGCCCGATATTGGTTGGAAATTTGACCAAAAACTCACAAAAAGTCAGTGCAGTATGCGACGGTGCATTACTGTGGTGCAAAAACCAAGAGTTGTCGGCCCATAATTCCGTTCTCTTTTTAGGGTTAGTTTCGCCGACGCATATACAATACAATATATAAATACAATGAATACTATATTCATTGTTGACAATTTGGCCGGTCGGAAGGAATTCGGAGTGCACCACAACTCGATAATCGAAGTAAAACATAACTTTGATTTTGAACTGCTGTGACGTGGATTTTTCGACTTCGGTTCATCCTTGACATGATATTCGGCCGATTAATTTACTGTTTCCAGGTCGTGACTATAGATTCAAGACTCATCGGAATTAATAAAACGTTGCATGACATTCTGGTAGTCGGAAAACATTGTTTCACAGACGTTAACGCGGCGCTGTTTTTCGAGAAAATCGAATGATTTTGGAACCAAACATGCTTTCACTTTTCTTAGGCCTAAATGATCTTTCGAAATGGTTTTCACTAATCCTTCCGATATTCCAAGGATGCCAGTAAGATCTCTGACTGTTAATCGTTGATTCTCAAGCATCATATTATAGTATGATATTAGGCATTGGTGTCCGTGACAGTCATAAAAACCGATAAAAAAAATATTTCGGCGAAAGGGTTTGTGCGTGAAATTTAATATTGAAAAAAAGTCTTACTATTTGTTGCCCACAGTAGTATTTAGCAATAAACGATGGGCGTTTATAGCGTAAGGTGAACCCTTTTGAACTGCTTAACGTTTTGGCGCTTCTACTCGAAGCATTTTGACATACGAGCGCAATTTTGTTGTTTACAGTAACTGAAAATATACATCTCGGTAAAAAAAACACGGCATTAAATTGCGAAAATTTCACGCGATTATTTTTGACATTTTTCGACGTTGATTATCTCAGCAATACGGCATCGATGAGCTTGAATAAATTTTTGGTCAAGAAGCTCCATCAAAGACCCGTGTTTATTGATCGTATGGTGAATTCAGTCGATCACTCTACGAGATTTCGTGAAGGTAGTTCAAAATCAGTTGTTGTTACGGAAACTATTGACGCTATGTGCAAACTGATATTACAAGACCCTCATGCGAGCTATCATGAGAGTGAGACAACTATAAGGATTAGTGAGACCAGGATACGTTTCAGTATATAAATTCCACTATCCATTTAAGCCTGGAGATCAAGAGTAGAATAACTCTTAGCAGGTAGACAATTGAGAAACCATTTGCTTTTTCAACGAACAACAATTGCGCTCCAAAAATCTCCCATTATTTCAGTTCGTTATACGTCGCAGACTCATGGACGAGACAAACTGTGATCAGAAATCACTTGGGGAATTCGATAGAACTGTTCTCTGCAAGGTCTTTTGAGTCGTCCGCGTGAGCGATGAGAATTGAAGAAGTTGGAACTGTAAACTGTATATGCTCTGAGGCGACATAGATATAGTTAAGGACATACAAATCCAACCAATGCGCTGATTGGGTCATGCAGTATGCACAGAAGATGATGTTTCGGAACAAACCGAAGTATGGGTGCCCACGCATCCAATGGAAAAACAAAGGATAGCGGCAACAGACGAAGTTTTGTATCCTCGGTCCACACCACACGCTTGTGGTGCCAAAGTAGAAGAGGGGAGAATAATTAGGTATTTTAGTTTAGTGTTGAGCATTTGAGAATAGCAAGTTCAATGTCTTTCCCATATTAATGGAAACTTTTTTCACTTCAGACCCAGCGTGCTGTTTTCGAAATTTCTGCATCAATAAGCGCTGCACAGATGCTTCTAAAAGGCCTAAAGATAGGTAACCATTGGAGGATTATAAATCGCCGATCTCACAGTACGATTATGAGAATTGTGTTTCAAGCTCTTGGGAGTAACGATCTCCTTTGGTTGAATTATAGATCTCATTAATGTTTTTTAGTACCAGCTTTCTTTAACAGAACTAGCGACAGCTGGGATTTTGTTGAAAGCTCCAATGACTACTGGTGTTTAGCTCTAAGTATTTTAATTATCCTTAAAACAAAAGACAGTATATACGTATGTTACAAATTTTGAACTCCGTTGCAGCCTCCAAATACAGTTTTAATTAATCATACGATTATATAATGTTTTCCCATTAATACGCTATTGCAGAGTGAATTTTAAAACCTTCTAATTCGAACAATTAGTGTAAACGTAAACTTGTCAAGGTTTTGTATGCAACAACAACAATACAAGCAATGTGTTAATTAACTTAGACTTCATTCAAAAAAATTAAATATATAAATATTATTTATTATTATAACGTAYTTCCTTTTCTAAGTATATACATGAATATTTATGAAGGGCAAAAATTAACAAACGCTGAAAAATTCGATTTCTCTGGCGTTCAGTGTTGATTAATTTCGCATTACACGCTCGTTTAATCGCGTTTTGCGCGAA